TCCGCCGAGCAAGGCCCCTGGACGGGTGCGCGCTCTCTTACCTGGAAGCATCTGGACCCACGCTGAAGGGCTCTCTGCCCATCTCTGCTACATTTCGCAAGCTCAAGCTGGCGTGCACACCCAGTATCAGATCAACACATCTTGAACTTAGAGCAAGAAATGGAAAGAATGGGTTGGCAGCAGAAAGGAATATGAAAAACCAAATGAGGCCCAGCCAGGAAGCCTCTGGGCAGGGGGAGACTTCAAGTTCAGACCCCGCAAGGGCCTTTGTGGAACCGGGGCCTGGTGAGCACCAGGAAATACGCAGGAAGAACCGCGCCGGAGGGCGGAGTTCAGAGCCCCGAACCCCTGGAGACCGGGCTGGGAGCCGCCGCGCCCGGTCCAGGAGCAGACGCGGACAGCGGCGTCTTCCGCGGGGTTAACAACTCTGATTTTGACAGCTTCGTGCCGTTAATCTGGCATCATTTCTTCATCGACTTAAAAGCAAAGAGCCCAAAGCACACACCGTAGAGGGGGACTCGAGGGACCCCCTGGCTTCGGGCCCCTGCGCCGCTCCGGGACCACACTGGGGTCTTTGTCTTCCCCATGGAGGCGCCCGGCAGCAAACAAGTTGCGTGACTTCTCTTCTCCCACTGGGCTGCACTTGCCCAAGCCCAGCGCAGGTGTCCAGTCCACAGTCAGCTCATCAGTCAGCACCGAGAAAAAGGCACTGACCCGAGGGGGGCAGCCTGGGGTGGCCTCTCCGGGCTCTCGGGCTGCACCGCACTGTGTCCAGGCGGAGTTGCGGAGTTTACGCCCAGGGCCAGCGGACAATGCCACTCCGGCCGGGACGCAGCAGGTCAGGACTGGGGAGGAGGCTGGGCCAGCCCCACGCAGCAGAGGATGCACGGCCGTGGCCCCAGCTCTTAGCCCAGACAGGTGTCTGGAAAGTCAGGGAGATAAGGAAGAAGCCCAGCTGCCCTGCGGGGCCCAGAGGCAGCAGTTCCAACGCCACAGAGCTGTGCCCCAGAACCCCCAGTGTCTAGTGACAGCCGACTTCAGACCTGACCTGATGCTCTCCGGAAGCCACACACCCACCAGGCGACAAGGTCATAATTCAAATTTAAAAAGGGTGTAGAAGTTCGGAGCAACTGGCCCTCTGAATGCTTTTCTCTCTCCCTTTTCACTTTCTGCAGCAAAGTGCTGAATGTTGGGGGCACGTGTCGGGGTGCCCTCTTCACATCATGCTGCAGGCACAGAGCACGTGGTGTGTGAGCCCTCGCCCCTCTTGGACTCAAGACCCAGACGAAATCCCGGCCCTGGAGCAAATCACTCTCCCCCTGTGACCCTCGACTTCCCCCCCGCCCCCCACGATGGGTTGAGAGGCGGAAACCGACTGGACAGATCTGGAGCTCCCAAACTCTGTCACCTGCTTCTCCAAGTGCCAACTGGACCCGTCCTGGAACAGCCCAGATGGCAACACCACCGAAGTGGGGAGCCCAGCAGGACACGGGCCTCAGCCACTGAGCTCGGTGGCCCCAACTTGGCGTGCAGCTCAATAAACTTCAGAGCGAGTCTAACGCTGTTACGATGCCAGCTAGCTCTCAGGAGAATGCAGGTGGGAGGCCGGCCACCCAGGTGCCCGGCTGGTATCTCCCCCCGTTGGTGTGATCCCAACTGAGGCCTCATAACCATCACAGCAGGTTGAGTAGTGCCCCCCCAAAAGATACGTGCACGTGCCAGCCCCAGGGGCCTGTGAGTGTGACCCCAGGTAGAAACACGGTCCTTGTGATGAAGGGCCTGGAGATGAGGGCATCCTGGATCCAGGATGAGACTAACCCGATGGTGGGTGTCTCAGAAGAGAGGGGGAAGGAAGACACACAGAGGAAGGCGGAGGCTGAGGACACGCGCATGAAACGGGCCCCCCCCAGAACCTCCGGAGGAGCCCCGTGCTGACGACAAGACCCGGGCCCGGCCTTCCAGAACGTGAGGATAAATGTGTGTCACGTGAAGCTGCGTCATCTGTGGGCTGTGTCCCAGCAGACACCCACCCTAGGAATGAGGACAGACCAGCCCTCCGTGTTACCGGGAGGAGAGGGCACCACAGAGAAGCTACATGACTCGTCCCCACTCCCCCGGCACCCGCCACTCCCTCCACAGCCCAGGCCACCTTCAGGGAAGGCCCCTGACACCAGGCGAGCAATATGCGACGCGCCAGGCCGCAGCTCTTGGTGGCCAGGACCAGTCAGGACCCACTGACTCAGGCTCGCTCACAGGTGGTGATGGCGAGACACCTCCCTGAGCAGCAACTTCAGGCGAGTCCCTTTGTGTCACCAGTTACCAAAATATGGAGCTTCCCACTAATTTCCCTTTGCCAGAAAGAGGCCGAAAAGTGATGGTGTCCGTTTTAATGAGGGTCCATCGCGGCTCCTAAAAGGCTCCCATAAACTAGCATTCCCCTCGCACATAACAAAGGCTTGCTGTTTAATTCCAGAACACAAGAATGTCACTGAAATTACACGGCTTTCACATTAAAGGCTTATGGGGATGCCTTTCCAAGGAAGAATTTCAATAAAAAGATCTCACCCGTTTTGACGCTTCGTCATATCTGAGCCACAGACCTACGTATCATGGCAACAAAAACAGCCTCGGAGAAGGGGAACGCAAACAGGACCTCACTTGTGCTGGGGAAGGACGTCACAGAGGAGCTGAGACGCTGTTCTCACACAGCAAGACGTCAGCGCTACAGCCTTGGGCCACCAGAAATTCGTAGCCAAAGCCCGAACCCCTTTATCCACCCCCCCTGCGGGATGCTCCCGGGGACTGCCAGCCCCGTGAGTCTGGTGAGACTCTGGCGCTGACTCGATCCTTATGTTAGTGCTTCTCGGGGCAACAATGAAGGCCCTGAGCAGGGATGACAGTGTTTCACACCTCCATCCTCCCTGAAAATGCCTTCAACTTCACTGACTTTTGGCTTCTACTTATAAAGAAGGTTCAAGGCTTAGAAAATTATTGGGGTTGAGCTTTAATGGCTATTCCCAACCAGCACTGTGTCATTACTGGCCCACATTTAGCTGGGCGATCTCCCAAATTTGTGACATAATCAGGCCTTTCTCTGCATTTCTCCATACACTCCATGCTCCCCTACATTACACCACTGAATCATGCGCTCTTTTCAACAAGACCGATTGCCAGGGGATTAACATTAGACAGCACAATTCCATTATTCAGCAGCCCCATTCAAAGCCAGCCCTAAACTCTAAGAGAGATTTCAGGGCTTCACAGAGAAGCCTGCCAGAAAGCTCAAAGGGGAGGTGGGGTGAGGGGCTGCCATGTTTTACATAACAACTCAGCCTAGCTGTCTACAAGTGCGAGCCCATGACTGCAGTGGCCGAGATATGACTCCTGATTCCTGGAATGGCCCCAGCCTCTGCTAATGAATGGTTTGCAAGCCTACGCAAAGCCATAATCCCAAAAGACCACTAGAGCCAATTATTTTATTCCCACCATAAATTACTTAATTTCAAACGTAGGCATTTATAACTTTTATCCCCAAAGCTTCACTTTCTTGTCCTAAATAGAAACACGTTCATGTCAGTTTCGGGATACGTGTGCCCCAAAATGAAATCCAAGGCCCGTGCTCTTCGATCAATGGGCCTGGAACACAGGGCCACAGTGAAGGTCAGTCCCTACCTTCTATTCCAAGGCTGCTCCTCTTCGAGCTTGTCTGTAAAATATCTGACGGAGTCAATTCCCCCTAAAACACGCTACAGGTGCCTCTGTGAGCAAAGCAGCCTCCGAAACTCGCTCTTTTATGAATTTCACATTGTGGACCGTACAGAAAAACCTATCAGATTCCACGTGGACTTCTGGAAAACCCAGCCAAAACGTTACAAGTACCTTTTCAAACTTTTTTATAAAATATATGCATTCAAATGGCAAAATGAACTCTTAACGTTTTCCAAGACAGAGTTTCTTATGGATCCAGTTTAACTTAATAGAAAATCAAGAGGGTTTTCGAACCACGTCTACCTAATTCGGTTAATCAAGCTTTGGGAAGTTTTTTAATGGCTCTTCGGACAATTCAAATATGGATGAGGTCTCTCTTGCCCACGTGGGGATAAACCAGGGACGCTAGCAGGGCAGGGCCGAGGGGGACCTGGCGGGCGAGTGGCCGCAGGAAGGGTCACACATTGCGGTGGAAGGAATCCGGGGCGCTCCGCAGGGCTCAACAGACTGCACGTGGCAGCAGACAAACCAGGTAGCCCCAGCAAGGACTCGGCACGCGGGTGGCACTGAAGCCAGCCCACTCCCGTCGGCAAGAGGACACGTCCTGAGCAGGGCTCCCAAGCCGTCACTCCTCCAACACACCAGAATCCACCCTGGCAGAGCCGACTTGAAGCTCCAGGACGTAAGACTATGTCATCTCAAGATGTTCGAGTAAAATCCTGCTAATCTCAGCGGTCTGATTAAAAGGTAACCCGCTTTTACGCAGTTCCTTGTTCAGGGAGGAAACAGCTCCAGAAACAGACACAGCACTTGCTACATCTGGAGACCTTGGGTGCAAGTGGGGGGCTGGTCCTTGGTCCTCACCTTTCCCTGGCCAGGTGTAAGCATGCACCCCTTTACTCTGCAGCCGGCAACACCCCATTGACCGCTTTGGATAATGTCACCTGTCTTTTAAAAATAAATTCTCCTACATGCTCCCTGCATGCACCACAGAAGGTGCTGGCAAGTTCTCAGTGACCTCAGCTCCCAGAATGTCTGCACTGGTCACACCACTGTCACCTCACACCGGAGGACACCTGAAACCCCAGAGGGTCACCCCAAACTCAGACATCCTGGCTGATCGGGAAACAGCATAGTCGAAGGGCAGAGACCCTCGCAGATGACAGCCTACATCAGAAAAGCAAAGGCAGCCCCTCTCGTAAACCACGGGAGACTCAGGCTCGCTTTCAGGATTTCGAAGGAGCCCAGTTAGAAGTGGGGCACAGGGCTACTCTCTGGGAGAAGACACTCACCCACAACATCGAGGTTGTAGGTGTGGTTGATGGAGCCATATTCGTTCTCGACCACACAGGTGTAATTTCCTTTGTCGGACGGGACCACACTCTCCATAATGAGGCTCCAGTGCTGGTTGCGGACCTGAAAGAGCAAAGGAAAAGGTGATCACGTAACGGGTCAGTGTGAATCGCCAAGAATTCAGTACGGAATCCCAGCCGCTCCGCCTGGAGTCAGGCACTCAATGCGGGATGCCAAGTCCTGGGCTTTCTTGATTTGAAAACTAAGGGTTGAGACAAGGCAGGTCACGCAGAATCACCTGAACGCTAAATTCCCTCCCAGTAAGCACATCCATCATGGCGAACGCCCGGAGTCCTCAGAGGCGCAGGAGCGCACGGGGGTTGTCATCGGCCAGGTGTGAGGGCTCTTCCCGGAGTGGCCAAGCGGCCTGTGGAGACTTGGTGCCCCAGGGCAGGTGAGCTACCAGGGGGCTCATCCGCTGGAAACAGTACCAGGGAATCTTCTAGAGCCAACACTAGTGGGCACTCTCCGTGCTGGGCACGGTTCTGAGCACTCCCCAGCAGCTCAGGTAATGCTCCCAAGGAGCCTACACAGTAGATACTGTTATTGTCCCAGGGTCATCTGAAAGACTCTTGTTTCTTGTCCCCACAGCCCTCAGATGCTGTCTGGAAGTCTCCAGAAGTTTCTCTGGGGAACCCAGATCTGCCTTTCCCACCTTTGGTAGTGACTGAATAAGATGTGTGTTCCTGATCAGCTCGGAGTTCCAAATGTGGGAGCACTGAATCTTCAGGAAACTGAAGTTGTGTGACCCTGGCTCACAGGCCCCCAGAGATGTTTCAAAGTTAAGCGGCCACGGGAAGTAGTTGTGGCTCCCTCCCACGGCTCAGTCCACAGCACACAGGCCCGATTCTAACATCCCCACCTTGCATTGAAGAGTTTAACTCAAAGAGAAGACTTGAATCGACTCAGATTTTTAAGCAAGCATGGGGGGGACAAAAACTTGGGGTTTATCTTTAGGGCTCACGACTCTCATAATAATCCAAGCCACGCTCTGTAAAGGTATTTGGACAAAGCGCCCTGACGCAACGGGCAGAAACAGTAAAAAGCCAGGGCCTACTAGTGCTAACTGCCATTCCCAGTTGGCCTCTGGACCCCCTGAGCCCTGCACGTGTTTTCTGCCTGAATCACTTAAAATACGCCGATGCCAACAGTCACCGAAGCATGTGCGCAACAAAGGAACTCGACTGGACAATCCGGAAAACGAGCCCGTGGACGTTCCGTTACCAAAACAGGAGGGCAGCGCACCTGTCTCCCGGGTGGGCCAGAGCCCACAGAGCTGAGCGATTGGGGAGCACCGCACAGCTCTCAACACCCAGCTTCCCGCAGCCTCTGCTCCAGCGGGCGCCAGGCTGAGCCGAGACAAGACCCCTCCTTAGCCGAGCCCAGTGCTGAGATTGCCTCGGGCCGCTCTCCTTCAGCTGCGCCTGCCCTGGGCACCCGCCATCAGGGAGGTGACTGCAGAGCCCAACGGCTTGAGAAGACCGAGCTTCGCCTCACGGGCGCAGGTGAGAAGGCAAAGGTGACGTGACGCAGTGGCCGGCAGCAGCGGGCTGTGTTTCCTACTGGACTCGCTTCTGCCTGACTGGCCAGTGCCTGGGAGAGACATAAGCTCAAGGGCCGAGGGCCGTGGGTCCTGGCTGGGATAAGCGCCTTCCACACAGAGTGGAGGGAGGGGCCTTTCTTCAGAACACTGCTGAATCTTCCAGATGCAGGAAAGAGCTCGCTATCTAAGTCCCAGCCTCCTCACTGCTACCCAGGAGCTGCTACCCCAGAGCTATGCCAGCTCGAGAATTGAGCCCCAGGGGTACCTGGAATGGCCTCTCCCCCGCCCCGAAGAACCAGTCACGTGGAGGGTAACTCAGGGATGAAGCCACAGGCCCTCCCGTCACCAAGCCACATAATCCAGCGGTTAGCCCTGTTGTAAATATTCAGTTCTTTGAGCCCCCGCTCAAATGTCATGCCCGTAAGCCCTTAATCATGGCTAGTGCCTGCCTCTGGACCCCATCCAAACTGTCAGTGTCTTTCTTGTGCCTCCATCCAGATTCGGCACATGGCAGGTTCCAAAGGGAGCTGACCCTGGACTTGAACCTGACCCTGGCCTGGGGGGCACCGCCTGCCTCTGCCGGAGACATTCAATCCTGGCACGCCAGTGCAGGAGCGGCTGCCATCTTCAGCCCCAGGGCATCGGGTCACCTCTCCTGGGGGCTGGGGCGCTCCATGTAGCTCACCCCTCCGGGGTACGTGCTCCCTGAATATTTACTTCCTGGAGATGCATTACAAATACTAATAAGTTAACTTTTGCAATATGTTTCTCCAGGAGAAACACATTAGTCAAACAGGATATTGTTCCCTTCCAAAGACCTTGGTCCTCGATCACTCCCGATTGCCCCATACCCTGCTGTTAAGATTTATTTCCTTCTACAGGTGGTGCTGAGATTTGAATCTTTGACGTACCACCCATCCCAAATTTTGAGCTATGGCATTTTCCAAACTGTCCAGTGAGCTTGTTGGCAGGGGTTACCCTACTCTTAATTAGAGCGTGTTAATGATAAGCCAGGAGACCACAAACAGTAACCCTAGAAAGATGGGGGACACCGGCAAAAGGATATGTGTGCGTGTGTGCGCGCGCGTGTGTTCTTAACACTGTTTCCACGCCAAGACTCGGTGTAAACAGCAAAACTGCCCTAACAATAAAAGCGGAAGCTGTCCTGTTCCACGTGGTTTCTCAACCCTCGGCTTTTTGGCCACAGAGACCACCTCTGCTACCACAGGAGAGAGAATGTGAACACCCCATAAACACATGAAAAAATGCTTAGCCTCCTTAAGCACCAGGGAAATGCAAATGAAGACAATAATGAGAGGCTGTTCTTCACCAGCTGATTAACAAAACTAGAGCGGGCCAGTCACCAAGTACTTCCTGGGCGCAGGGAAAGACCCAAATGGAGAATGGGGCGTGCCAGGGGAGCCTGTGTGTCAAAGAGGTTGGCTGTATGGTGACAATTAGCAAGACTCTTTTTTGACGCTGTTAATTCCACGTCTGGAAGTCTCGTCTATACAGAGAACGGTAGGAATTCTTCAGGGCACACCGGGGCTGTCCATGAAAGCATTGTTGGTAACAAGAAAAAACAAAGCCAGTGGAGCCTGCCAGAGAGGCTCTCCGGAGCTGCACTTCATCCCTCAGGGACCGCTACACCGTCACCCAGAGAGCAGCACGCAGCCACGGAACAAGAGTGGGGTCGACTGCTCTCAGTCTTGCTAAGAGAGCAGCCTGCCTACGAACAAGCGAAAGCATGTAGGCTGATGTGTGTGTTCGTGATTCCATCTGTAAAATCACACACACACACCCTTCAGGATGCATCCAGGCCCCAGGCAAACGGCATGACTGTATAAATATTGCCCCAAGCAGATAGAAAATACATGAAATTGTTGGCAATATGCTTTCCATAATTCGGTGGTGGGTTTAGGAATGTTGTTTACCTTTTTGTCTCATTTTCGCTTTTCAAATTTAAACAGAATCCTCTCCCTCCGTCTGTCTGACTCGCCTCACACACTCAACACTCACGTGCACACACACTCACACGCACACACCCGCACGCACGAGTACTCACAGCACGCACACACAATACTCACACACACGCACGCGCACACACACTCACGCGCACACACACTCACAAGCGCCCACGCACGCGCACACGCACTGTGCCGCCTTCACGGCGCCCTGCCCCGCCGCAGACCACTGTGCCAGGACAGTGTGGACGGGAAATCCGCACGTCCGACGTCCCGCCTGTGCCCCAAACGTTGCGGAATTCATCACTACTTTCCATCAGCCAAGGAACACAATTACAGCGGGGAGCTGCAAAACTACATGGCCTGAAGCGATCACAAATAACTGGAATACTGGAAAAGGTGGATGGAAGGAAGGGCCAACCTCTCCCCTGGGGCACATATGCGGGTCCCGCACATTCCACACCTGCCAGCCCAGAGACTCAAGGCCGCCCAGACAGGTGGCTTCAGAATCCCTGACACGGTCTTGGAAGAGCAGGTCAAACCCCCATCTACCTTCAGGTGACAACTGGAAATGGAGACTTAGTTTGGCATTAAAACAGCTAGGTGGAAGGTCAGAGGTCAGAGGCCCAGGCTGTTCCCTGGGTTTCCACATTGCAAAAGCCTCCGGACATTTCCAAATACCCTGGTGTTCAATAACAAGTGGAATCAACAGCCAGAAGCTGGAAGGAAACTTCTGCTCCGGCCAAGCTGGTGAGTCGTGGCCATGTGATGAGAAGGTCCAAGGCCTCGGTCCACCGGTATCTACCCGACTTGCCCAGACCCGCGAGCCCTTCCGGCCCTGGATTCGGAGACGTGCCGCACAGACCAGATGTCACCAGGGAGCCCCCAGCTTCTGCAGGCTCCCGGGACTCAGAGGTCCCTGTGCGATGAGTGTGAACTGAGCTCACACAGTCAAGGCTGTGCCACACTGAGGCTCACTGCCACACAGAGGGGGCGACGAGCCCTGGTCAAGGCTTCGCCCCAAGCCTGCTCCTCAGGAGGCATCCAGAGAACAGGGCTGGTTAAGCCCCTCACCAGTGAACCTCTCGCCCTCGCGGACGATCGCTGGACGATCGCTGGGCCTCTCGGGGGAGCAGGCCGGTGAACCACAAAATGCAAGGCTGCTCCCTGGCACGTGCTCACAGAGGTGCTCTGGGCAGGCACCCCGGGGCCCCACTGCCTTGAGTTTCACTCTTTGGGAACCTCATGGCCTTCCTCAAAAAGCTGAAGGTCGGGTTACAATCCAGTGACTCCACCCTCAGCAAGGGGCCCGAGGCACTGAAAGGAGACACAGAGAGCTACTTGGGCACCGTGCTCACAGTGGCATCACTCACAATAGCCAAAAGGCAGGAACAGCCATGCCCATCAGCCAAGGGAGAGTAAACAAAGGCAGCAGGCCACGTGACGGGTAACATCATGCAGCACAGAGTAATGACATCCTGAGGCCACAAGACGGGCCTTGATCACTGTAACCCAAAGAGTCAGACACAAAGGACCCACTGGGGTGAGATACTCAGACTAGGGAATCATGGGCAGAGAGGAGAGGTCACGAGGGCCTGAGGAAGAACGGGACTCATGATCACGGGTATCGTGTGATGCTGCTACAGAGTTTCTGTTGAAGTAATGAAAAAGCTTTGAAAATCAATGACAAACCTTAAGTTCTAGATACGTTGCCCTAGAAACATAACCTGAAGTTCAGCAAGTTACCCTAGTGGAAAAAAAATCTCACTCAAGTCACGGGAGCTGGAGCAGCAGCGTCACACCCCAGCTTTGCGCTCAGCTGCAGACCTTCGGCCAGCGGGTGGCCACAGCCAGGACTGCCTCTGTGTGCGTCTCGCTTCTCACGAGGGACTGATAAAGCGCCACCGTCTACGGTTGAAGAAAGCTGTCAGTACACGTCTGGGTCCCCTGGAAGCACAGGCCCTTGGAGCATGTGACAGCTTCCTTGGCACGTGGGCGGGAGAACAGAGCCCACTTCTGTGGGCTGCATGGGGGCTGAGGAAGTGGGGTACAGGTGGCACCTGGCACTCAGACACAGGTGAGACGTCAATAAAGGCTGGCCAGTGCCAGCATACCTGCTTCCTCATCACGGGCTAGTTGACCTGGGATTAAAGCTGAATATCTTGGCTGAGAAAAGCTCAACAGAGCACCGATATATTAATAAGCACATTAGTAGTGATGTCACCAAATAAGCATCCTTCTGGGTTAAGCATAACATTGAATCAAATGCCTCTGAAATGACATATTAAGTAACCTAGAAAATGTAAATCTCATTAACCTTTGCATCAAAAACACCAGTTTCGTTGTGATTACAAGGAAATTGTTTCTAAAGTTCTTTCCCTGAATCTGAAAGATGCCTGGAAACTAGCGATTCATGCTCTCCAATGTTTCACTCTGCTGAGGGGTTCCCAGGAATCCTAACCTCAGGATGTGGGGGACCAGGGATGGTGGCTAATTCCTCTGCCACAGTGAAGGACAGTTTATCCTGTGTCCGCTCTAGGTTCTTCTGCAGAGGCTTTTGAAAAAGCCTCTTCTCCTGTCTGCTGAAATCGTTAAGAAAAAGCTGGGAACTGAGTCTATGAATTATCTCAGTCACCTTGCTTTTCTGCATTAAAATGTAATAACTGTTCAGAGCCCTATGAAATAGCTACCCATAAAGGTAACCTCTTTCAAAAAAAGCATTAAGCTGTGCTTTATGGAAATGTACCCATAATTCTCTGGCAGATGGGCATCTGAGATCCTCTATTTAATCTTCTCACTTAGGATAGGTCACCTGAGCACAGATTGCTGAAACACGTTACCCAATATCAAGATTGACGTAAAAGGCAGGAAGGCTTTATCACTGTAACTAAATGATTACTATCCAGCAGCCTTGCCCACATACTAAGAAAAATAATTTGACTTAATCACCTCAGGATGGCTCAGCACAAGCTTTTTGATAAGTAAGACTAAAGTGTAGAATACCAATAGCTCTGTTGGTTATTTTAATTAAAATAAGCTTTCTGGTCCATTTTCCTAACACTCTGATTTCCTCTTGGTGTTCTGTGTCCTCTCGCCCTTCATGGCCCACATAAACATAACGCAGTGCATCAGGGTCACCCATGAGGAGGAGAAAGAGCCGGAGGGACACTGGGCCTCAGAGCAGGACCGCTATGAGATTGAGGAGGGCGGGGAGGGAGAAGGAAATCACAGAAGCAAAACACATGCGTTTGCAGAAATGGTCGTGTCTTGCTTTCTGGAAAAACACATCTTGGAAAACTTGACACCCTGCTTCTTCATAAAATACAGGAGAGCGGGACTCCATGGGGAGGGAACAGAGACCACGTCTTGGTCAGCAAGGGAAAGGGTGGAGGGAGGGGTCCACCAGCTGTGCAATCCCATCCCCCGGGCCAGGGGTACCGTGGCAGAGTTCTTCAAACGTTGTTAGGTAAGGAAGAAAACACCAGTGGGAAGGCCCAACATGGACCCGTGGGCCTACTTCCGGCTCGCTTCCGAATCACTTCCGGCTCTCCTAGACCCAAGCAGGTTGGCCTTTTTAACCTCCAAAGAACTCGTGACCTGAGTACCTGGGCCAGGTCTAACCTATCACTGGTGAGGTTTGTGTTTAGGTAACTACATTTTCCTGGAAAGATGAGAGATCTCTGCCTTTCGTGTCCCGGAAGCCCCTAGGGCTCCAGGGAATTTGTAAGATTCCAGTATCCCCAAAGTAAATGTCGGAGGATTGTGAAAATCCCGCACGGCATCCAGCCACACCCCTCAGGCCTGTGGCCACCGTGCCTGGCCACAAGGAAAGCCCAGCAGGGTGGCCTCTCACCCAGCGGCCAGCAAACACATTCCTGAGGGGCTGTGTTCTCCTTTCCTTGCACTTTTTTTTTTTTAAGCGAGATATATTTTAGATTTTTGTTCCCACGCACTCAAATTCCATCTCTCTTTCACACCACAAATGGCTCAAACATGAAACAACAAAAATACTTTGGGCCTCTGTGCCTCAGGGAATAGGGGGTAGAGCAAACATTGGCTGAAGGTCCCTGGTTTTGCTTTTAAAATATAGGTGCTCTGCATTCGGCGGAATGTTGTCAATAATTAAAACAGCTGCACCTGTTAAAAATCAAGCAGCATTTTCTCATTAGGCACCCCAGTCTTCCAGCCCATGTGTAATCACAAATTCAGATTTGCAAAATGCTCACCCATAATAATGAGGTTGGTCCTATTTATTTGAGACCAGGAGTTCCTGGCACTCAATCACTCTTTGTCCTGATTACAGAAAATTAGTTACCTGCCAGGATTCTGTCCACCTCCCTATACCTAAGTTGTAAATAAATGACTGGAACTCGTCGAGTGTGGTTTTCGAGAGCTTCTGGTAGTGAGAATGACCCGGAAACATGACTACGGTGGTTTAACGCTTTCTTGCCAACCAGCTCATCACCTAGTGAAATCTTCTGTCTATTCATTCCTGATAACTCTGCCCGCGGTCTGACCTCAACAGTCCTGTGAGCGAGACCTTGAGCTAGAAGGCCCAGTGCAGCTGCCCAATTCCTGACCCACGGGAACTGTGAAATCTATCTTGGGTGTCTAGTTCTGTCACATCTCGGATTAATTTGTTACCCAGCAATAGGTAACTAATACATCCACCGTTCAAGTTCCAAGCACACCAAAGACTTTGATATAAAATTCCTGAAGTTTTCCTCATACACTGAATTCTTCCAGTCCTCTCCTGAATAATTTGGGGATTCCAGCTACAATGTCCTTTCTTCTAGGTCAGCTGAGAATCCTTGCCCAATCTCCTCTGTTCTCACTCTCTCAAACATCACTTCTCCCGGCACATCCATGCACCCCTGATGTCTTGCCTGACCCTATGTTTGCCTTCCTTGTGGGAGGAGGCGTCCCCAGGAGCTGGGCGGGGCTCTGTCCAGAGCCTAGGCCAGAGCCTGGCAGAGGGTGCCCCATTTATTGGCTGAACTGACAACAGAAGTGTGAGTGGGCATTGTCAGGTGGCAGTAGGCACATGGCTGGCAATTTCCAGAGCACATCTTAGCCAGGGCTCCTTCAGCATCCTTGAAGCTGGAGGGCAGGGAGAGTCTGTCATCTCAGGTGCAGTCTCTTAATAACCCAAACCCACCCACTCACCACTGAGCCCTGCTCAAATACAGGACCCACACTGCCATTTCTCAAATTCTGCTCCCATACAGACTATAAAGCATATAGAAAACAGACTCAACTTTCAACCGTTCTGTTATTAAACATCCCCCAGAGAAAGAATAAGGCAAATGGGGATGGTGCTTTCAAGTTCTAGACAAGTCCAGTTTTTTTGTAAATCCCAAACTTGGAAATGATCAATCATGATCATTGAGTCAAAAAATACTCCTGCTAGTTCCTGTTAATTTTTGACTACTTTAAAAAATGGTGAGTTTACGAAACACAATCTTTGGAAAGCTTAATTCTACCTTGTAGCCTCCAATGCGATGTTCCTGCTTAAATTCCTTCCCGTTTTTCAGCCACCTCATGGTCGGGGTTGGGTTCCCCCCTGCTGGGCAGCGGAACTTGACTGTGTTGGCCGCCGGAACAGCGTGTAGCCGCTTTTCCATCTTCTCTGTGTTGGTCCAGTAGGGCGCTCCTGTTTGGGGAAACAACATGATAATGTATCGATGGACAACTCGGTCTTGTTACTAAATGCCTACGGGTATCATCATTTCCTTTGGTGTGTGAACGATGGGACAGTTTCAAAATCGTTGGGTGACATTTACATTAGGAGAAAGTTTTCTGGAGTCTCGTCCAGCTGGCGCAGCAGGTCCCTAGAACCTGCCCGTGCTGTTGCCCATGAACAGGGGAAACAATGCTCGAGGCAGCTTCTCTCCCTCATTCTTAGCACCAGAATATAGGTTCACGTCAGTCACGTCTGAAAATGCTACTTGACACACACACACACCATGACAAGGCCGACAACAACAGCTGAGTGCTCCCCAAACATCATTTCAGATAACCGCCATGCCTCTGAAGCCGTCACAAAGACACACTCGTAAAAGGAAGTTGCATCCAAAGCCACCCAAGTGGCTTTCCTTTAAAGGATAATGGGTAGCATTTCTGGGAGGTACTGCCCGTTTCTGAGCACTTTACATGACAAACATAGTTTAATTTCTAAGGTAGAAAGGAGGCTTTCATGGTGGCCTAGGGGTTAAGACAGTGCTCTCACCACTACAGCCTGAGTTCAATCCCCGGCCAGGGAGTGGCCCACAGGGCACAGCAGACCTTTCCTGCCCCACCCTCTGCTCCCCTCAGCAGTGAATTTCAGTAGGTCCACCTGTTCTGCCCCCCACTCTGTCTCTGGGGAATCCTCCCACACACCACCCCCGTACCTCTGTCCCACACTCCCGTTCTTCTATGCGTAAATAAATAAATGAATCTTTAAAAATAGAGAAGTGATCTTTTGGTGGTTGTAAAGGTCATTATTTGCCATCCTGTATAAACAAATAACACCAGCTAGTTATATAAAACTATATCTTCTAAGCCACCCTCCAAGGCAGAAATATAAGTGGTTTTTTAAGCTCAAGAAAAGAGACAGGCTGTTAAACTGTCAAGTAAAGGACATCTGATCTAAGTGAAACTGGGGCCATCACTCTAGAGAACCATGTAAATTATTCGAACCTGCTGATAACAGCCATGACCACCAAGTGCTTTATTTACCCAACACAACTCCAAACACACGTGTGTTTAACGCAAGCATCCTGCTGACAGCCTGATGAGAAAGCACTATTAGAATCCCTGTTAAGAGACAGGGATACTGAGTCACGGTGCAGTGATGTAATCTGCTCACAGCCACAAAACCAGGAGTATCGGGCCAGGAAAGCTGTCCCCAGAGCCCCACTGTCTTCGCCCTGCTCCCCACGGCAAGTAAGAACCAGCTTGAACAGGTTTGGAGTTCATGCCTTGGACCGCAATGATGTTAACCCCAGCCAACCTGGGCCAAAGGCACGTGTGGCTGTTACTTCTGCTCAGAAGGTCCACTGAAGTCTTGTGTTTCACCTGGATGTGTCTGTCTTAGCCAACAGCTAACCAAATTCCCGGCACGCCCCTACAGCATCCATTGCCAAGGCGTCGATAATCTAGAACATTTGGGAACACTGAAATTCTAGAAGATTGGTTCATAACTTTATTTCTGATGAGGGCTTGACTGAGCAACAGCACACCCGTGCCACCAGCCAAGATCAAAGCAGCCCTCAGCAAGACTTAGAACCCCTCCGTCCACTCTGCGGATGGCACAGCTTGCTCGTGGGAGGTGGGGAGCGAGGCAGAAGGAAAGAAATGATCCCTCTACTTCACAGCCAGACTTCATGACAGAATTAGGTATTGGAACAAGGCCCTCACCCGCACCCCCACAATGATGTACCTACCCCCGTGTGCCTCACCAGGTTCTTACAATCTGCAACAAGAGGAGAGTTGGGATTTTCCTAACCAGGGCACCTTGAACCTTCTTTAGCCTTCTGTTATCTAAGTATCAAGGAGGCAGGGTGCAGATGTTGTCCACAATAAGCCAGGGCTGTACAAAGAGAGGCGAACTGTGGAGGTCAGCCCTGCGCCCCAGGAGCGGAAGGCTGGGGCTGGCGAGGTGGGGGCAGGGAGCCAGAAGGAACAGGGCTGTGTTTCCGCCTCCTGACCCAGCTGCGTCTGAGGAGCAGACACTTCCGAGCCATGTGGCTTTGGGGGCAGATGCCACCAACACACCTATTCTTTGGCGGGCTCACCAGGCGTGCTCGGCCATTTGTCACAAGACTCCCAGGGCCTGGCAGCTACAGAAACCATTTCAGTCACCTTTCATTTGAAAAACTTCTACTTAGTAAAAGTCCATCCACAGCCATCGCCACTCAAGAGAAACCATCAGGAGCACAAAATAAACAATGAGCTTTGTTGCTGCACAAAGACTGACAAATCTGACCTAAATGAACAGGCACCGCACGCTGTCAGGTGTTCCCACATGGCATTTGTTTAAGCCAACACAACAGCCTGTTCACGTGAATCAGCTACATTTCAACGCAGCAGCTTGGCAGCCGCCGCGGCAGGGCTGACCCCCCGGAACCTGCGCTCCAGGCTCGGAGACCTCAGCAGAGCCCTCGCTTCAGGCTCCGAATGCGGCTGCGTCCTGCTCTTGCGGGCGGAGCTGCGGGGGAGGCTGCCCAGCCCCGGGCTCGCCCTGGACCACACGGGCCCGCTCGCTCCTGCCTGTGGCCACAGCCTGCTGGCAACCAGCACCTCTGTGTTGGCGCCCAGGGACTGATTTAAGGACAAGGGTGAAAGAATTTCACTGGAATGTCTGGCGGGTAGCCAGTTCCCTGGGGTGCAATTTCAATCATCAAAACTGCACCTATAAAATCTGCTGGTGTAAAGCAGACACACACCCAGGCAGCGGGGCGTGGGCACCAGACTCCTTATCGAAAGCCTCCCGGGGCCAGGCCGGGGTGGGGGGTGGCGTAAAATCTAGTGGACAAAGGAGAAGCACATCACCTCCCGTGTCGCTGCCACCAGCCCTGGCAGGTGACTCATCTGGGAGTCGACATGAAGTCATGTTACTGAAGGTTCCCTGTGGGGCGGGGCGGGGCGGCCCCCCACCCCGACGCTGGTGAGTGTTCACACGGCACAGGCAACGTGGTGTGGGGTGACCAGGCCTTCCTTGAGGATGTCAAGCTCACAAATCTTTTCAAGAGCATGATGCTGAAGGAAAGCATTATTTTATTACTTTGCCACGGCTCTTCCTGAAATTGGCTCCATACAAAGTTTGAAGACGCTGTAAGACTGAAACAAATAAGTGCTGCAGAAACAACCCTGCTGTGTTTCCTTCATCAGCAGCCTTGTGCCCTCTGCAAACTGTCTTCCAGAGTTCCTGCCATTTGTGCAGTCTGGCCCATGGGAAGATCGGCGCTCCCAGCGCTAGCTGCAGCCGGGGTGGAGCAAGGGGATCCCGGGGGACCCCCCTTCATACCACAGCTCGTGAGCAGAGGTTACTTTCACAAACCAATGCTCTACAAAGTGGGGGCAAGCCTTGCACCCCGGGTGCTCAGCAACTCTATGTACAGTGGATCTGCGACCCCGGCCGTGCGGCGGGCAAGCATGTGCTCTGTGTGCCTGCCTGCCCTGGCCTCACTCTGGGAAGCAGGACTGGGTTGAAAGTCATTTAATCAGCAGAGCAGGGCTGTGGTACATAAACTTCTGGTGGCATAAAAAACGAATTATGCTGGGTCTCCCTGGTGGCGCAGGGGATAAGTCTCAGCCCTGTCAAGCGGTCCCCAGCCGCTGCAGCACAAGCTCCATCCCTGGCGGCCAGGGAGGGACCCACAGGGCACAACAGACCCCTCCTGTCTCCCCGCTGCTCCCCTCGGCAGTGCATCTCAGTAGATCCGGTGGTTCTGCCCCCCACCCCGCACTCTGTCTCTGGGGAGTCCTCTCACCCCTGCCACACTTCTGGCCTACACCCCAATTCTTGTATGCATAAATAAATAGAAATGAATTTTTTAAAAAATGAGTGATGCTAAATCAGGAGTCAGCACAGGGCTCTCACTGCTGTGACATGCTCGACTCGGCCAGCCGGGTTCTCACCCGCTGAGGCTAATAATGAAGAGGTGAAGGCACAGCAAGCCGAGGCCAAAATAAACCGATTACACCAAAGCCCATCATCGAGGTCAGCTACCCAGCACGCTGTCGCCTCTACACTGAAACGGTCGCTGCATATCAGGGATAAGGGAAGTGATGTTAATGTCACTTAAACGCAGCAGGAGTTTCTCAACATGTGGCCGCTACGAGAAACTTTCCTCCACGTTCCCTCAACACGGCCCTCGTCTACCAGTGCTTCCACAAGGCACATTCGCCAATCCTTCTTGGGTCCCCTCTTTGGTATTTACCTGTGTTTCCATAACCTGGCATCTGGAGGCTGGGATAGGTTCCTTTGACACCTGTTGGCTAGAAGAGCAGCACATCTAGCGTGGTCTTTAGTTTATGGACGATGCACTTAAGTGGTGGATAGGTGGACAGAGCGGATGGACGGGTGGACGGGTAGATGGATGGGTGGATGGATGAGTGGGTGGATGGATGGGTGAGTAGGTGGATGGCTGGCTGGCTGGCTGGCTGGATGGATGGATGGATGGATGGATGAGTGGTGGGTGGATAGATGGATAGATGAGTGGGTGGAGGGATGACGAGGGAGTGGATGGAAGGATCAGATGGACAAAGTTTGAGCTATGCAGTGAGGGCTCTGAATGGAATATTCTGCTAAGACTCCTCTCTATACAAACATTCTTTCCAAGGGCCTCTATTCTAGGCAGATATTGATTCTTCAACAAATGGTAGGACTAGAAGGTTTATTTTGACCCTGCAATTTACACTGAGTGTGGAAACAGGATGCTAAGCCCGTCTCCAAGGAAACCCTTACATTTCCCCGTACAGATATCTGAAGTTTACAGTAGATTTCTCTCAAATCAGACAGGGAGAATACAGTCTGGCATTTAACGAGAAAACACAGACTCATATTACCACTGTACCAGAGAAGGCGTCAGCGACCATCTGGCCAGTGGCTGATGTCACCAGTGACATGGAGGTTAAGTGATTTGATCAAGGTCTCATGGCCAGAGA